CTTCTCCTCCGCTCCCCAGGTTTCTACCTGATTTCACCCTCAGAGTTTGAGCGTTTCTCTCTCTCCACCAAATGGCTGGTGGAGCCCCGGTGTGTGGTGGACTCCGCAGAAACCAAGAACCACGGCCGCCCACGCAACGGAGCAGGCCCTGAGAAGGCCTTGCGCCGGGCCAGGTGGGCCTTCGCCCCAGCCCCTCGGCCTCGTCTCTGAGGCCCCTTGTGGGAGCCGGCCAGAATCCCCGCCACTGCGAGCGCAGCCTCCCCTCCCGGCTCTGGCTTTGTCCCTCTTTGCGTGACCCTCTCCCCGGTGTGAGCTGCCGTTTAGGACGGGCTGGGCCCAACTCCAGGAGCCTCCTGCTCAGTGCAGGCCTAGCCGATTGATCTCATTCTTCATAGGACCCAGAACAGGGAGCCTAGTGGTCCCCGATCCTTACTATCTCTCCCCCCACAGGAACTCAGGGAGCCAGAGTGATGGAGAGGGTAAGACAGGCCTCTGTGGAGCCAGAGGAATGTTGGGGCAGAGGCATTATGAGCACACCCGGGCCAACCCGGGCCCGGACTTGGGGATGGAAGGAGGGAAGGGGACCCCAGGTGAGCAGGTAATGTGTGGTGGTCGGGCTGGGCATAGAAAGAGCATCCCTAACAGTCCTGAGCTCCGGGCTTTGGCACCCCCACCCCAATCAGGAGGGGCTGGGGCAGAGGGCCCAGGGCTCGCCTGACCTGGCCTCTGCCTTCCAGAGAGGAGGCCGGGCCCCGTGATGGAGCACGCTCTGCTCAATGACGAGAGTGAGTCGGGGCGGGAGTGGAGGGGCTGGCAGGAGGGGTGTTCTGGGGGGAGGTTTGGAAGGCCAGGCTGGAACTGACGGCCGTCTCCCTGAGCGGGGCAGACCCACCCAGCACCCCATCAGTAAAAGGGGGAGAAGGGCTGTGTCCGGCCCAGCCCTGCTGGCCTCACCAGTCCTCTGTTCCCCAGGGGTCCTGAAGGAGATCCAGAGCACTCTGGAGGGAGACCGAGGGTGAGTGGACCGCCCGGGCTTGCGGGGGTGGGCCTCTGGCCACCTGAGCCCCCATGGAGGGTGACTGCCCTGTCATTGCCCATGCAGAAGCTGTGGCGATTGGCATTCTCAGCAAGTGGGCGTAAGGTACAGCCTCAGCAGTGGGGGAGGTCGGGGCTCTGGGCACTGCTGTGGGGTGGTGGGGGCGGCTGGGAGGGCGTGCTCCTGGGGAGGGTTAGGAGAAAGCGCCCCTGTCCCCCGCAAGGCCCTGAGGACCTTCGGGTCCATCCCAGCCCTGGTTGTCCTGAGGCACTCCACCCCGGGGCTCGGGGGGTGACCGAAGTCCCCGTCCTGCCCAGGATGCCCCTGAGTTGCTGTCACTCTGCCTCATTCCACAGCGGAGGGAGCGGGCTGCGCATCCAGTCTGCACGATGAACACACTACTGAGGGCTCTTCCTCGGGGCACTGGCCCACCTGGGGATGCCCACACCCTGGGCCGGGCTAGGGGCTGGGGGCGTCCCCGGCTCCTGCCCTGCTGCTGCTCCTGGCCTCGGGAGAGGAGGGACCCTGGGCCCTGAGCTGCCCCTCTCCGGGCCTGTCTGTCTCGGTCCTTTTGTCAATGTTGCACAGTTTTTACCCCCCCCCTTTTGTAGTGGGCTGGGTTTTAAATTATAAATGTAAACTGCCTCTGGGTGAAAGAGTTTTTAATAAACACCTTATTACCTCTTCACTGGTCTACCAACTTTAATTTTGGAATGGTGCAGAAATTTGCCGCATACGTGGAAATGATCGTTAGCTGATTCCCAGCCTTTTGCCTGCGGCCTGCTCCCTCCCAGCCACCCCCACCACCCCACAGCAGTGCCCAGGCTGGTGCTGAGGAGAATTGCTTCTTAAGCCATCTGAATGAGAACAAACTGCACCTGGTCGTGTCCGACCCACCACACCTTCTCTCTCTCTCGCAGTAAACAGCAGGGCTTAGCCCTCTGGAGTCGGACCCCATCACTGGGTTGGGGCAAAGGGAGTCCCTTTGCTGTCAGAAGGGGAAGACACCTACAGTGTCTCAGACCTGGTGGCTTCTTCCAGACTTCAGGGAAAGACTATGGGGTGCTTCTGAGGTGGGGGGCAGGACAATGCCTGGAGGTGAAAGGTCTTACCCGCAGATAAGGGGCTGGATTAGACAGCTGTTAAGGTCCTTAAAAGCCAGAGGTTTGGTTCTACGTGGGCTCTATCTTTACTCGCCTGTCTGTGTTGAGCACCTATATACCAGGCGCTTGGGGATCTGAGGTGGCCAAGATGACGTCCCTGCCCATGTGAGTCACACAGTCCTCACAAGTGCAGGAAGTGTTAGGATGAGGGGAACCCCAGAGCTTATGAGAAACGTGTCTGGGGAGGTGACTAGAGGTTGGGCAGAAGGCATGGTGGGCCGGGCAGACCATTCTGCAGTGAGGACGAGAGGGGACAGCAGTGTGCGAGGAACGGGTCTGCTTGCCATGGGAACGAGTGCAGAGCCGAGGGTGGCTGGCAGGAAGTATGCTGAATGTGAGCCCACCGAGTGGCCAGGGCCAGGCTGGGATCCCCTGGAGCCTCACGAGGGTGAGGGCACTGCCCTGTGCCACAGGAGCCCACCCCAGCCCGAGCAGGAAGGGCCCGTTGGAAGGACACCAAGTAACTCTCACAGCAGAGGACGGAAGCACCGAGGCAGCCGAGCATGTCTAGCTCAAGAGTCTGGATTTGGGAACTTGGGTCACTCAAGTGTCCCTTGTTTCTCCTTAGAAGAAGGTGGGAGACTTACTGAGGAATGGGGAGGAACAGCTCCCCAAAGTAGAGAGGAATGCTGTCTCTGCAAGAAGCAGAGAAGGGGCGCCGAGCAGATAAAAGACAAAGCCACGGACCCTGCAGTTAGAGCCAGGATTTATCCTGAGGCCACGGAAGCCTCTGACGGACTTTAAGCACTTTAAGCAGAGATGTCTCATGATGAGATTTAGTCTTCTAAAGACCACTGTAGTTAAGACCCCAGCAAATCCCACTCATGTGATCTCAGGCAAATTACTTACCTGCCCTGCTTCAGTTTCTTCTGGGAAATGGGACGATAGCAATATTCCCTTGTGATCTGCTGTGAGGCTCATGTGAGTCCACGGGTTAGTGATAGGGGTGACCTTTGTCAGGGTCAGGGAGAACAGGTTAGAATTCAATGCACAGATGTCTTTATCTTTGATCATAGGCCAGAGGGTCATGCACCAAAAATGGGTGCCAAGGAGGGGGTGGGAACTGACCAGCACCCCCCGCCAGCTTGTAGAGAGTTGTATGATTTCAACTGCCAGTTTCAGAGAACTGATAGATTGTTTTATCGGGTTGGCTAAACTGACTTACACAAATGTACAAGTGACATGAAGTTTCCTACCAAGAAACTAAGAATTGAAGATGATAGCACTAACGAAATCACCAGTGCATCAGAATAAAACGGCAGAGCCAGCAATCGCATGGCTCAGGGGAGCCCCGTGGCTGTAGCAATAACCTGGCTAATCGGACTGAACAAGAAGCCTGCAACAAATACACACACACTCCAGAAATTATCACGAAGACTCTGAAAATGGATTTACGTCCACGCTCATTACGGACAAGCTTCACATAGTTTACGACATGCAAAAACTTCGGTAGTTTGCACATTTCAGTTCTGAGAAAAAATTCATATTGAAGGCGCGAGATCAACAATTTTTATTGATAGGTGCGCACAAATGGAAGGGCTCCATTTTCTCTGGAAAGTGGGTTAACAGATGCTGGGCTGGCACGGAGGGAGGAGTTGGGGATCCTTGCAGCGGCAGTCCAGGGAGAGGTGACGATGGTAGTGGCAAAATGGAGATACTGAGAGGTTGAGTTGACAAGGATCGCTGCCAGGGAGGTGACTGAGTGGGAGGGGTCACTGCTGAGTCCAGGGCCTCCAGAGGTACTGCAGCAGCTGGACACGTGGCCTGGAGACTCAGATCTTCCGCACCCAAAGGTGGGACCCCTTAGTGTTCACCTAGATTTGGAAGTCAGGCAGACCTGACCCCTGAACACTGGCTTTGCCTGTAACCTTCGATGGATAACCTCACTCTGCCTTAGTTTACCTATCTGTAAAATGGGGCACAATGATAGGGCCTCTCTGAGGGTTGTATGGATTAAATGTCTGTAAAATCGCACAGCACCTGACTCCAGTAAATAACCAAAGGTGAAAGTTATTGCAGACGGTGGGCGAGGCCAGGAGAGGAGGAGACGGCTGCCGGAGGGAGGAAGGACTCCCCGCAGCCCGCAGGATGCGTGCACACCTGTGAGCAAAGCAGGTGAAGGAATGAGTGAGAAACAAGAGGAGAAGAAAGCTGGGCTAGCGGGTGGGGCCCTGCTCCCCCGGGTGTCAAGTTGACCAGTTGGAAGTATACGTTTAAGTTTTACACTGTTCTCTTTAAATTATATTTCACAATCTAAAACAACAATAACAACAAAAAGAAACTAACAAAACTCAGGTGCTCGCTGTGTGCCAAGGTCAGCCTGGCCCCCACCTCTTGGAGCAATCCAGGGGCTAAAGGAGGAGGGTGGGTGCCCCCTGGAGCCCCTAGGACTAGGGGGACAGCACAGACAGGTTCTTTCGGCACTGCTCACCCCCTGGTGCGTGAGCAGCCAGGAGGACCCTGAACCCGGCCCTGTTTGGCACAGGGCCAGGCTGGCCTGGCTGGCAGCAACTCCCCCTGCACTGTCATCCTGTCCCAGGCCTTTGTCCTCAGCTGCAGTGTCTCCTCTTTCCTGGGCGGCCTCCACTCTATTGTGGCCGAGGGGGTCAGGACCCACGCCACCTGCATTATTGATGCTTGGGAGTAAGGCGGGAGACGTGGGCGTAGGGTGAGACTGCAGACCCGGCAGAGCAGAGCTGCAGTGATGTGCCGCTCAGAGCTGAGGGAGGCTGTGGACAGCCACATCCTGGGGAACAGGGGAGGAAGAAGGGGCGGGGAAGCCCCTCTTCACTGGGCCCGCCATGGGCGGGAGAAAGGGCAAAGCACCCCAGTGCCTGGAGGGACCCAAGAAGCTGGCCGCAGGGGAGCAGAAGCCGGGGTCAGCCAGTGCAGAAGGCTTGCCCAGCGGGGAACCCCAACAAGGCCGCAGAAAGGCCCGGGGAGCAAGACCGGAAACGGAGCCCGTCACCATGGGAGGCCAGGGGACCCTAGGTGGCCGCAGGAAGCCCAAGGGAGAGAGGAACAGCGGTAGCAGACGGCCAGCGGCTGGGCCTCCACCCGCCCAGGGAAGACAAGGAAGCACGCGGCGTGGGGGATGTGAGCCTAATAGCCGCGAGCCTGGGGACAGCCGTGCGGGGCGCCAGAAGGAAGACAGTCTCCCTGGAGGAGAAGGGAAGACAGGCAAGCGCAGCCGCCTCAAGAGGAGAGGAAAAGGGCAGGGACCCTCGGCTCCGACCCTCGATGGGGACACGTCGGGCGGAGACCTGGGCAGCTCCTGCCCGGACAGCGAAGCCCACGAGGCCCAGGAGAGCGGCAGCCAGAGCGGCGGGGATCCGGAGCTGTGGCCCAATTGGGAGCAAAAGGACACGGGATCGGGAGGCACCCGGACTGGGTCGGAGTCAGCTCTGGAGCCAGGCGAGCTCCCGAGCAGCGATGGCCAGAGCAGAGACGAGCCCTCCGCAGGTCCCCGGAGCCTGGAAGGGTCGTCAGAGACAGGGACCCAGGGAGCGACCGAGGATTCCGGGGCAGACACGGACTCGGGTCCGGAGGAGCCCGGGCCTGGACGGGGCCCACGGGCGGCCCCAGGATTGGCGAGCACGGACAAGGAAGCCCAAGAGGCTAAGCTGGACAGAAAAGCCACAGCCTCTGGCCCCCTCGAGGGCAACCGCACGTGCGTCCCCCAGAGCTCGCGGGCTGCTCAGGACCCCAAGCCGACCCAGGACACGAGTGACAAGGAGGTGCAGCGGGAGGCGGGGCCGGGGGGCGCCGAGACAGGCGGAGCCGAGGCCTCGTCTGCCCGGACTCGGCG